GACAACTCCATACCTAATCCCGATAACCCACAACACCTCAATGATATACACCACCATATGCATACTCCCAAAACCATTACTTGTACTCTACACACCATGCCCAGTAGCCGCCCAACTTCTAGTGGCGTGACGACAGCTGCACCCTGTGCGTGAAAAACGGATGCCGAAGTGCTTCCGAAGGCGTGAGCCGCTTGTCGGGATTGAGCGTCAAGCACCGCTCCAAGAGGTCCACAAAGTGGTTGAGCTCCCTGGTCTCTGCATCGCTGAGGTCGCTTGATGCGGCCAGAAGACGGGTCCGCAGATCCCGCGTCGGCTTGACCACGGCCAGCGTTCTGACGGTCGTCTGGAGAACCCCAAGTTAGTCACCTTTCCAAATCGTGCATCGCAGGGGTATATTTGGATCTGGTAAATAGAAGGGGACATGGAATCGTGATGGAAGCGAGCCGTTGGACCTGCAAACTGCGGGGACGGCATCGTTGGTACTGAGGCGCGCGGTTCACGACACCTTGTGGCCCATCCCGAGGCCTGCTCTCCTGCACGCCGGAGGATTACCATCGAGACTAGCAGACAGGACGGCAGGTCTCAAACGCAGGATAACGCAGGATGCAAGCAGGCGTGAGGCACCGAGTCCGTCGCCCCCGGGCCAGTGGAATAGGGGAAGCTCCGTAGGCCTGTTGGCTCGGACCATGCGGCCGCGGGGAACCCAGCCGCGCCGCTGGCGCTTAGAGGTGCCATAGCCGACACTTGCCAGCCAAAAAAAGAAGCGCGCAGCACAGCCGGTATAAATAGCACAAACAGCAACGGGAGGGTTGGGGTTTTGTGTGTCGATGTGATCGATCAGAGCGTGGAGTGTGTTGGGCGGCTCTAAACTTACCTTGCCGTAGACCTTGTCCCTCTCCACACTCAGAAAATTGCCCTGTTCGTCGAAGTGCAGCCCAGCCAGCTGCCCCCGCCGATACAGCTTCTGGCTCAACTTGCCGCGGATCTCCATAATGTTCTTTAACATCTGGTTGTTGCTGTCGCCCGTAAATAGAATCTTGCCCGTGTAGAGCTCATACAGCGTGCAGCCGATGGACCACATGTCGACTGCATAGTCATACGGCAGTCCTAGGATAATTTCCGGTGCGCGGTAGAATCTACTGACGAGATACGGCGTGATTTCCGTCGAGGCTGTGGCCGCGTCCGACCGGTCAATTGCTGTGCCTAAGTCGCAGATCTTGAGCAAGTTGCGGGCTTCGTTCACCTGCACACTGTTAGCGATACCCATCCTTCAGACGACCCAGAAGAGACTCACCAAAATGTTGTCAGGCTTGAGATCAGCGTGGATGATGCTGCATTTGCGCATATGGCCGAGCGCAAGGAAGATCTGGTAAGCATACGCCCTCGTCGCGTTCAGGTTGATGCCGACGTTGTTGCCAAACTTCTTCAAGACCTCACGGAGGTTCAGGCTCAAATTCTCAAACACCATGCACAAGTGGCCTTTGTCCTCGAAAGAGCGCTCAAACTTGATGAGGTGCTTCTTGTTCTCCGGGTCGGCCGCGTTGAGCTTCTGCAGGATGGCAATCTCGGTATAGCCGCCCTTCCTCAGCGCGTCGTTGTTCCGCATGATCTTGATGGCAACTGTCTCCTTGGTCGTGAGGTTAGTAGCACGAGCTACGCCCGAGAACATACCACGACCGAGTGCCGTTGAGAGCTGATATCGACCATCCAAGATCTCACCCGGCCTGATCTTGTAGTATCCGTCCTTGTCGTCGCCATCGACGTTGCCTCCGCCGCCAGCAACCGCCAGCGGCACCACACCGTCATGCGCGGGAACGACCTTGGAAGGCGCTGGAGCCAAGTTGTCATCAAAATCCTCGGCGAACATGTCGAAGTCCTCATCTTCATCGGCTTCCTTCGAGGGCGGAGCTGGTTTCTCGGGGACAGCCTCTGGCGCCGCGACCTGAGACGGTCGACGAGCCTCTCCATGAAGGCCGACATTGCCGAACCGCAACTCATCACGACGTTCGTCCTCTCTCATATCGGCCGTCGGGTCGTAGTCAGCAGCAGAAGGTCCGTCCGCATCGTTAGCCTTGACGCCGTTCGCTTTGACGAGATCCTGATCATCAATAAAGTTGAGCGCAGTGGGCGACATGGCATCCTGAAGATGAGACGGTGAGAGCGCAGGCGTCGAAGGGTTATCTGTGGAGGTGGTCAGCGAGTGCCCCAACTTCAGGGAAGAGTCGCTCTTACTAGAGTTGGGGGTGTTCACATCCGTCTTTTGAGGCGCTGGAGTTGTCTGGCGAGTCGAGCCTGGAGTGGAATGAGTTTCAGCGTTCTGCAACGCCTGGATCAAGGGGGCTACCGCGCCGTTGGCAGCAGCGGCCCGCTTCAATGCTGCCTCTCTCGCTCGCCTGCGTCGCTGAATCTCTGCCTCTTGTGCCGCCTCTTCGTCCATGGCGGACGATGGATCCCAGTCTGGATCTAGCTCAAGTCGAGCATTCTGTGAAGAGTCTCGCGGGCCCGCGCTGGAAACTGTTAGCGTGACCCGGACAACAACAGGGGATGGAAACGCACCTCGGCTGTGAAATAGCAAGCCCATTGATTCCTCTCTCAACCGTAGCACCTTGATCACGTTTAGCTTCTTGCTTGCGAGAATTGGGAGCGTCCGCCGGAGCAGCCCGCTTGGACACAGGGTCCTCTCGAGGGTGGCTCTCGGCATGGGCACTGTACTTGTTCTCAGAACCGTAGCGGCCCCTGTCTCGATTGCCTCTGTCGTGCCGGTCGCGAGGGGATCGGCTGCGGTGACGAGGGCGCTTGTCTGGGTAGCCGTTCGCGCCTCGGTCGTAGTCGTCGCGGTTGCGCGTCTCGGAACGATGGCTGGCAGAGGGTCGGTCGTCTCGGCGTCCAGAGTAGGAGTGAGAGCGGTCGTCACCGGCGCGATGAGAGCCACGTGAAACCGGACGGTCTAGATCGCGGTAGTGGCGGCGGTCGTCTCGAGGACTCTGCTCGTAGTGCACACGGAAATGGCGGGGGTCTCGTCTGTCGTGGCTGTCGCGGGGTTCCCGGTCGCGATCGCGGTCGTCGCGAGATCTCTTCCAACCACGGGGAGATCGGCTTCGGCGGGTGTAGCCATCTCCAGAGTGTCTGGAGCGAGCATCATCCTCGGGTGTTTGCGAAAATCTGCCTCGATGTCTGCCGCTTCGGTCAACATCACCGCCTTGTTCAGAGCGAGGCTGGGGAGGTGCCTCTACGATTTCCCCCTCATCCGCGCTGTCTACCGGAGACGCCATTGTCCACCTCTTTCTTTCTATCGTTACTTGCTTTCCCCTCTGTCTCCTGTGTGGTGTTGCGGTGGCTGCTGTCGCTGCCTCCGCCGCCTTGAGAAAGCCGATTGATGTCAGCAAAGTTCGGCTAAGCGACTATAAAATGGAGAACTGAACCCAACCGTTCAGGCGACCCAGTATGCTTGGGACATGGAGCGATGCTGAACCAAACGGAATAACAAGACAAGCTGTGTGCGGCGCTCAGTGTGAAGCAAGTTCGATTTGGAGAGAAACTGTGATGCAAGTCATCCGCCTGGCCTTGGAAGTTCGAATGGAACCTTGAACCTGGCAGGAATCCCGGCGCTCGGGCCAAGCATGCGAAACCTAGCCGATCCGAAGTTTTGCCGCTCCACCGCCTCGGGATCCTTATCGATTCGAGCCGCCTCATGAATCGCGGGGCACAGCGGCAAGTTGAACTTGGGCTCGCTCTGTCAGACTTCACCGTCCGCAACGTCTTCATTTTCAGTATCTGCACAGAAGATAAAAAATGGGTGGACAAGGCAGAGACGGTAAGTGATCCCTCTATTTATGTATTCGCGTGTAAGCTAACTTCTCTCAGGCGGCAAGGCCAAGCCCCTCAAGGTACTACACAAATCCCGACGAAATCCGAATGCGCTTCCCCGACTGACGAGACCAGGCTCCCAAGAAGGAGAAGAAGGAGCTTGATGAGGATGACAAGGCCTTCCTCGAGAAGAAGAGAGCCGGTACGAACACCGCTTGGCGGCGCGCTACGTAGTCCATCCTCCGCTGACAACTCCTAGACGAGAAGGCCAAGAAGGAACTCGCGGCTAAGGCTGGAGGCAAGGGACCTTTGGTAAGCACTGATCGCCGCGCTGTTGACCCTCTACTGCAAGGTAGCTAACCATATCCCTAGAACACCGGCGCCCAGGTACGAACTCGACCCCTTTCCTCTTTTTTTACACAACGAACCCCCGCGTCCCTAACCTCCTCGAACAGGGCATCAAGAAGTCCGGCAAGAAGTAAAAGAACATGGCACAAGGCGTTAGGATTCACTGCACATGGGGTTGATTCGGAAGGCGAGGCGCATGAGCACGGAGCTATGGATATGCTATTCTGCGGACCGCTCTATTTTGGAGTCTTCTGTGTTTCGCATTCGCATTCTTGTCGCTCTGCAGATGTCGTACCAGTGCTTGACGAATTGATTCCTTCATCCCACTGCTTGCGTGATGTGTGGAGTGTAGAGAAAAAGGGAAAGTGTTTGTCGCAGTGACTAGCCCCTGAGCGTGGAAGATGGGTGAATCCAGCCTGGGCCCAATGTCACACCTTTCCATGAGCCACAACCACCCAGCGGCCGAAAAAGTCCTCTCAAAACGACCTATTCTCAACATCCAACACAAACCAAGTCTACTTATACAAAGACCATCGCGGTCAAGTGCCAACCTCCAAATCTAAGCCGGGTAGACCATCCCGACATGAACCAAGTGGACTCTCTCCACCCGAGACTCAAACGCCCCTTGCCCCCACAACGGTGGAAGAAAGAAGACCTTTCACCCCACTCACCTCAGTCACATTCATATGCTCGCTTTCCGGTTCCCCCTTTCAACAATCGGGTATGGTCTAGTGGCTAAACATCGCTGACTCTCAACTTTGAGTACTCAGCAGCCCGGGGTTCGATTCCCCGTTCCCGAGAAAGCAGGCACGACCAAAACTACAGTGGGTGGAGACACCCACCCATCTTCCGTAGCATAGTGCTCGGTATGTGAGTTTGTCAATCCCTCTTGGGGATGCCTTCGCTCGGGACCCGGGTTCAATTCCCGGCGGGAGAAATACCATGTACCTGCTTTTTGCCCCCTTTTGCCCCTGGATCCCTCGAGATAGGGGGAACAGTCTGGTGCAGTGGTGGGTTGAGACAAGACAACAGACTGCTGGGATATACATATATATTTCGAATATGTATATGAGCGGTCTATAACAAGTTCCGCTCTGCCTGATTACAATGACCTAATGATGCTGTTCCTCTATGTGAAGTCGTTTCGTAGCCCTGCCATCCACGGCATTCATCCTCACCCAACGCCAAACGATGCGAGCTAAATGCAAATGCTGTCTAGCAATCCAAACATGTCCTAGTCGTGAGCCGTTTCCCCTCTTGATCTCCAAAAGAACACCCGTCTTCTGTCAGATCCCCAGCTCTTCTTCAGCGACCGGAGCTTCTAGTTCCCGCCCCATCCGTTGCTAACGTTGCGGGTCGCCGCTCCAGGCGTACCGCCGGCATCCCTCCTTCGCCCCCCTCTAAAGTAATCGTACTGAGCTGGGTCTTGCGCCTGAGCCGCGAGGGGCGGCGTAGCCAAGTCTGCGTCTGTTTGTGGGAGCCCGCCATAGCCATGCGGCCCGCCGCCGAGCATCCCTGGAGATAGCGGGTTCCCGAGACTTAGTCCGCTCATGGTGCGGCCCGGCTCCTCATCGATGCTCATGTCCCGTGAGCCCCCCGGAGTGCCCGGCCTGTATATCGTTGACATTCCGGCGGCGTTATGAACGAGGTTGCTCTCGCTGTCATTGCCCTGCGCGTAGAAGGGACTACGGGTACGGGACGGGCCATCGAATGGCGTTGGCGTGAGAGATGGCGGCGTGTAAGCCCCTCCGTAGGCAGTGTGTTGCTGGCTCGGCGGAATGTAGCCTGGCGCGTATGATGTGCCTGGTGGGGTTTCGGACTGTGGAGAGAACACTCTGCGGCTAGCGCCAAAGCCCATACCGCCCACCGGTGTTCCCGGCCTCGAGCCGCTGTCGGATCCTGGTCCGCTTCCAAATGTGCCTGGCGTGCCGGTTCGGACGATGTCAGATGGCCTGCCGAACAGCTCCCCAGCCCCATGGTCGGCGGCAAATTCGTCACGGTTCTTGTAGAACTCAAAGTCCAAGCGATTTTCTGGTACCACCTCGAATCCCGGGACGGCAGACGAGATTTTCCCAGCTTTGCCGGAGGCCATATTGTCCATGGCGTAGGTGTCGCTGTAGCCGCTGACAGACATGGTGTCAGCTGCGTCCCGCCCGTCGGAGAGGCGTCCCTGATAGACACTGGCAAGAATGTTTTGGGCCTTCGCGTGAACCATGGGGGTGATCAAGGGCTTGTACAGGGCGGGATGGCCAAATCGAGCCGCCAGCCGGTCGTTGCGCATGCTCTGCTCCTTCACATCCATGCTGGCCTCTCCGCCGTGGCGTCTGACGTTCCGCGTCGAATAAAAGTGGATCTTGTCGTCAAACACTCGTGAGCAGTAGATCTTGAAGGCGATGAGGAGGAATGGAAGCGGCGCAACAGCGTATGCCTGAATGTGCGTGCCGTCCCCCCTGACCCAGGTGACGAGGAAGACAACCAAGTTGGCCAAAAAGGCCCCGAAAACAAGGCGGTTGAAGAGAACACGCCAAGACATGCCACCGCTCTCCGTCTTGGTCACGAAAACATAGAGTAGCAGATATTTCTTCAAGGCCACGTCAATGCAGAAATAGAGCGCCGCGGCCGGGAGGACAAGCGGCTGAATAGGGGCGTAACAGAGAGCGACCGTAGTGTAAAAGAGGAAGTAGTTGTAGTAGCTGGCGTAGTCGAAAGGGGGCGGCGCGGTGAGTTCGATGAGCTCGCGGGGCGTCGGGCTGGAGAACTTGCGCATAAAGAAGCTGTAGATTAGAGGCCAGAGCTGAGCCAAGTCGATGGCCGCACCAAGTTGTCTTTGTAGCATCCACGTAACCCAGAAGGGGGAGATACCGCAGAGAGAGATGAAGACTGTGTCGCCAAAGTTCTGCTTGAGAATGGCCTGCCAGGCATCCGTGCCTTCCGTGGTCCTCTGGACGACGCCCGAAACGAAACTCCAGACTCCACTAAACATGGAGAAGACGAACAGATTGTTGAAAACAAAAAAGGCGTAGAGCTTAGCAACAACGTGTCGTTCTCGTCCTGACTTGGTCTGGTCGCCCGCCTTGATGGCCATCCGCCGGAACACGATGGGCAAAAGCAGGTATATGAGAGAGGTGAGCGCCGGGGACGCAATACCCTGGACGACGGACCAAAATCCGTAGTTGCTCGTAAGGGACCGCTGAAAAGCAGGCCAGACATGCCCCAAGTTGGCCAAGTTCACCAGAAAGATGGCAATCATGGCGTTGGGCGCAATCCAGACAAAGGTGAGAACCGTGACCCACATGTTGTTCCACAGCCTCCTGGTGCTGCGCGTAGCTGAAGTCAGGGGCATGTTGTCCCAGATGATGTCGTTGGGTCTTGGCGCAAGGGTGACCGTGGCTCCGTTGACCTTCTTGTTGCGACAAGTGTAAGCAATTGAGTGTGCCTCCGTGATGTCAGCGTACGACGCAAAGCCATAGCCCATAGTGCTTCTCTTGTCCACCCTCTGCCGGATCTCCTTGATCTCGATCTCCAACGACTTGATACGTTGGGTAAGATACTCGATCGCGTCAAGCTTCTGGCCGCTCGGGTATGTCGAGTACGACGGATCTTTTTTGGAAGGAGAGCATTTGGGTCTTGCCGCTTGCAGATTGTTGGGGTCTTTCAAGTAGACAGCCAGCACTTTTTCCAGTTTTCGTACGGTCTTGCCGTGCTCGTCGATGAGCTCGGGTAGTATCTTCACATCACGGGCGATGGCGGTTCGGGAGAACGACGAGTTCGGCGCAACCCCGTCGATGAGTCTTGCAATGCCCTCGTCCGATGAGAGGTTCTTGGGAATGTCGTATAACTGGATGTGTTAGCCACTGCTTGCCAACCCGGCATTCCTTCGTCCAACCTACCATCAAGGTACGAGCATGGAGACTCTGCTGGTATTCCTCGCTCTCGAAATACTTCCGCCTCAGCTGGAGGACCTTCCTATAGTTCCACCAGAGAAAGCCACACACAATGATGTTGAAAAGCCAGGCGACCACCACGGTCGCCCAGTGAGCTTCGCCCCACACGTTCGCAGGCCCGATTCTAGACAGCTCCGATGCATCCTTGAAGAACACGCCCTTTGTGAGGTTGACCGGGATCAAGATGCAGCAACCGATGACGGAGAGAATCACAAAGATGTTTCGTAACATCCTGGTGAACCGCATAAATATGGAGGCGTCCATTCCAACCAGGTTCACCAGCTCCTGTTCCGTGGTCGACCACAGCGGGGTGATCCACGCAAAGATCCCCTTCCCCAAAGGCGGCGGCGCATGTTTCTCATCGGCATGCTTGAGTTTCGGCGCATAGACAACAGTGTTGTATGGTCGAACGAAGGAGAAGGCGAGGGCGATCGCGGCGGTGATACCGAGGGAGGAAGCCAAGGCAACGTAGACGGAAGTTTGTTGAAGCTGTCATCCCGAAGTGTCAGCTTGTCTCAACTCAAAGTGTCGCAGACTTTGGGACAATACATACCGCAGAGCCAAAGGGATCTTGAAGTAGCTTGAGGAACTCGCTGCCAGCATCAGGCGTTTGTCTCGGCGACAAAACCCGCGTAGGATCCATGTCGGCTTCGAGTTGTAGTAGAATCTGCCCGCTTGGGGCGAGTGTCGGAAGTTGTAGTCAGAAGAACGAGGTGGAATACGACGGACGAGGTTGCAGCGGTCCGGATTGACGATGTTCGGGGTCTCGGCCGGGGCGGGTCTGGGTTCTTCGACGAGAAGCGATCCTCGGGATCAGAGACGGTTGAATATTGCTAATTCCAGATCAAAGAGGCTCTTCGAGATTAAGAGGCGGCATATGACAATAGCGCAATACGATTGCACAAAGACTGCAAAGGCGTGCCGTCTGGGTACAAATCGTGGGCACAGCAGGACGATCGCCAGATTGGGTGACGTAGGACCAGTGCCAAGGCCACACGACGCGCCCTACTAGCGAGGAGAGAAATGAGCAAAAAGAAGGTCTAAAGGGCAGAAAGGGCAAAAAGTGACACAGCGAGCGATGGCCGTGTTTGTAGTTAACGAGGGTAGGTATTCGGTGTCGAAACAAGTGTCAGAGGAAGTCAGACTGTAGCGAGCGGCAGTCAAGAGCTCTCCATGAAAAAAAGCGAGTGCAGACCGTTGGCAAACCAAACGGAACGTTCCAAAAGAAGCTCTAGACAGGATCGGGAAGGAAGGGGCGAGAGAACCCGGAGGTAGCTGGGTGGTACCCAAGCCCGAAGTCCCAACGTCTCAACTGGTGAGCGTCCAAAAAAATGTTATGGAGAAAGGTGGCCCCGCAGCATATCCAAAGTCCTGGTTCGCTCCAGCGGGGATTGATTGGGTGGCCCCTGAAAAAGAACCAGGACTTGCAGGACCAAGTTTACCGGCTAAGATCTATTTTTTCGCACTGCCACATTGGCGCTGTGGTCAGCTCCCCAAATCGACGCCAAAAGGCATACGGATCGGTAAATTTGTCGTGTTGCCCCACACCATTCCAAGCATGCGCTCACGGAATACGAGATCCCCTGCGGCCGATTCTTCGCCGCACCGGTGTTGCGCCGGCGTGTATTTGACAGCATCATGGTGCAATGAGCAAATCGGTCGGCTGCCTCCTCTGTTAGCATCACGTTTCGGACGTTTGTCACAACAGGACGGCTTGATGCCTCTGCATAAATCGCTAGAGATTGTGCGTGGGGTGCAGATGTCATAGGCGGAGGCCAAAGGAAAGGCGGTCCTGGGTTGTTAGAGATTGCCCTCCTGGCGCCCAGCGAACAGTGCCTAGGTTGTCCTTCCGCGTAAGATGTAGAGCGTAGCAGCATTTCGGGCCTCTGCCAACATTCCTGTCGTGCAGCAATCTGGTGAGGTTGTTTGCTCAGTGAAGCAGTTCAGACAAAAGCTGAGCTCACTACGGGTTCGGAGGCGTTCGCGTCCGCGT